AAGAATTCCCTTTCAGTTTCCGTTTTTATTATTTGCCTTTTACCTTTAAAAATAAATGACAGTCCTTGTGGAATCTCCCATCTAAACTGAATATTATTCCTTCCCAAGGCCTGGACAATATAATTAAATTCTTTTCGTTTCCTCAACATTCTTTGTGGGATTTCCTTCAACAAGCGAATTATATTTCCTTCAATCTTTAATGGATTTTCAAAATTCAGTTTAAAAATTTTATCTTTAAAGGATTTAATAGTCACTATCAGCATAACATCTCTTGGTATTTTATTCTTCCTTGCGTATAATGAATTTACTCTATAAGTTTTATCAGTCAGGAATGTTAACTCTTCTTCATCCATATTTAGCCATTTTGCCAAGCTACGTTTCATAAATTTCTTTACATCTTCTCCTTCTGCTTGTTCTGGTGTATTCCTTAATCTTATCATATTTTCCTTTTGTCTATATTCAAGCCTGTCCATCTGTTGAGCCATTTTTTCATTCTATTCCACATTTTGATTTGATACCTTTTCTACCTTCTCTACTCTATTTTTTACTTCTCCCTGTTCTGTTCTTATTGTTTCTACTTCTTTATCCACCATTTCTAATCTCTTTTCAATTCCATCAAATCTTCCTCCCATTTTCTCAAAGTTTTTCTCAATTTCATTTTCCAATGTTGTAATACACTCGTCGGTGTTCTGTATCATTTTCATTCAATTTTTCGTCATTTCCATTGTTATAACGTCCTCTCCTGGCTGCCCTTCTCTTCCTGCTTTAGAATCGCTCCTTTTTTCCTCTGGGCCTGTCGCCATTAGGACTTCACCACTTCTCGTCTCCAGATTACTTTTACGGTGTTAGTTGAGTATTCACTTTCTCACACGCTTCTTGAAATTGTAATTGTGATTCAGAGTCTCTGTGTTTTTCCTCCCTCACGTCTATTCGTAGACACTAGACGGTGCTATTGTACAGGCAACTCTCTGCAGTCATATAATTTTACTTACTATCGGCTTGTGACTTGATCCCCCAGTTACTCACAGTATTTCACTTTCCCCAAGCTTTATACACCAGCTCCAACGGTAAGTTCTTACTGTTGTTGACTCCTCAAGGTCTTCAAACTTCTAATCTCCTTCCACCGGGGTGGAGGATAAGCAGAGTCGTTGCTCAAGTTTAAATTTCTTGAGCTTTCCTCAGACGCCGGGAGCTTCGGCTGGGCGTTTCAAGGTCATTTCCCCTCTTTTTCGGCAGGGCGCTTGCTCAGCCTGGCTTTCCTTCCACCCACCACGATTCTCGTGTGGTGGAGTCGGGGTTTATTTTTATTTATTTATTTATTTATCTATCTATCTATTTTCCAAATTTGTATGTCGCCCATCTCCCCCATTGGGTGACTCTGGGCGGCTCACAATCATAATAAAAAACACAGGACTCTCCAGACATAGTCAAATCTATAAATAGTTAAAAACATATA